AGGTTCGCGAGGCACCGCCTCGGCCCTCGCTCTGGTTTGGGGCGGGCTGAGCCGTGTGTTCGCTTCACTGATTCCTGCTCGCCTTGGCTGTCTTTGATGAGATGGTTAAGACATGAATTATTTCATGGCGGGCTCAGAATTTGCCGGCTCAAAAGCAGATTGTCAGTGATAGGCCTTTAAAGTAAAGAGCTTAAGGGGTAAAGCAGCAGCTTCGAAGCTTTATGAGTGCCAAAATTCACGAGACTTGGAGCTGACGCTGTGTTTGTGACTTGTGTGCAGCTGCTGTCACTGGAGACACGGAAGTACCTGGTGTGCATTAGTGACAAATGCGGTGGCCAGCAAAACTCCCATGGTGGGTGGAGGCATCGCTTTCACTAAAAAAAATCTATCAGTAGGGAAACTTAATGAGGCTTCTTGGTGGGTAGGAGGTGTAAAGGTCTGAACTGAAGGTACAAAGATCTGAGTTGAAGGCTAGGGGAAGGGGAGACAGAAGAGGGTAATGGAACTCCCACTGCATCAGTAAACAGTGTCCATCATCCACAAACCTTAAAATCAGGTGTTTCTGCAGGTTGGAAACCTTTAGTAACAGCATACTGGTGTGGTCACTGAAGTAGTGATGCCTTGATCTGAGCCAGTGCCACTGGGTTCTCCTCAGCCCAGGGAGTAAGTGCTGTCCCTGTTGCTCACCACTGACTCTGTTTTACTCAAGATTAACGTGTGGCAGGTGACTCCATTTTTGGTCATGATCCTTTTCTTAGGGTAAATTCTTCGTCCATCTGGAAGTGTCTAGAGGCAAGGAAGGCCCGGTGAGTACTTGCTGGAAGGGCTGTTTTTGTCTTGGTCCTGGGAGAGCTCTTCCGTCTCTTGTCCGGGGACAGTGGCGCTCCCCAGCTTGCAGGGCTTGCGCTGCTCAGCAGCTCTGCAGCCACATAGGGTTCTGGCACCAAATGAACAAGTTTGTTGGAGCTTTGGATACACTGTGTCCAGTTCTTTTGCCTGATAAACCCACCCAGCTGATGTGCAAGCCATCCAAAGTGTGGAAGCAAACTGAAGATGGAGAAAGATCTACTTTGTGTGGAATTTGCTTTAGAAAGAAATTGGAACTTCAGGTTTCCATGAAGTCTGGGGTTTCCCTCCTCCATTTACCACATAAAATTTACCACATTTACCACATTGCTGAGTTTGGTTTTCCCAGCAGTTCTGTGTCATAGTTTGAGCTGTCTCGCATCTTATTTAATCACAGCTAAAGTTCCTGTAATTAAAACCTATGTCTAATTCAGATACAAAATGGAAGTCATTGGAAGTGTACAGATTTTGTTTCCCTGTGTTTAGAGCGGTGCATTCTGCAGGAAACAGGTTGTATCTAGTGAGTCAGCTCCTCCACTGCTTGGGTGAATGGCCTGTGCCTGACTGTGAGCTAGCAACTGTGGCTGCTCTGGAGTCGGGCAAACCTTGTGTTAGGGTTTTCTCTGGTCTTTCTCAGAATTGTTTTGAACCATTCAAAAAGACTTGGTGTGATAATATCTTGGGCTTGGTTTCTAGGAATTTTTGCTTAGAACTCTGGAGGAGGAGTCTTCCCTTTCCACTGGCTTCCCCAGCACATTTACTGGTGTGGCGTGTTCTCCTCAGGTGGTTCTGTAGCTGTCTGTCTGCCAGTGAGAGCTGGGTTTTGGCACCTGAATTCACCAAGTGCAGGGTGTTTCTCAGGTGAGCTGGCTGGTTGCCTTCCTCTTGATAGACCTGGAGTCTCCTCACCCCTGAAATAGGAGTGGGTTTTGCTGTCCCCTAAGGCCTGATGAAGGCTGGTTGCTGTAGCACACTGAATGCTGTTTGGCACAGAGGTTGTGCACTCCCCATGGGGGATGGAGCTCCTGTGGACTTGAGCTCTCTGGGGCCAGGAACAGGATGGTCTCTCAACAGCAGGACTTGAAAAAATGGTGTGTAGGCAATGAACCCTGGGTGGCCCAGGTGACATCAAGAGGTCCCTTCCAAGGTCAGCAAATCTGTGAACTCGGCACAATGTTTCCTAGAGGATAAACTGACATCCCTAGAAAGAGTGAAGATGGCTGAATGAAAAGGAACATGAAAGTGGCAGTCTAGACATGCATTGTCTGCACTTCTAGAAACTCAGTATTCTGCTGTGATTAAATACTGAAAATACTTAACTCCCCTAAGCAGTTGAGACCCTGGATATTGTTACAGGACAATGATAGCTGACCAAGCTGATTGTTTGGTCTTGAATTTAAGCTCCAAATTCTCAAAATTGTTCTTCCAACCAAGCTGTTAAGGAAAAAAGAAAGAAGAAGACAATTAATTGTGTAGAGTTAAATATATTTTTGCAAAATGTAATGTCTTCGTACTTTCAGAAACATTTAATGGTAATGCAGATCTAGTTGACCCTTTTTATTTATAAACTCCTGTACCAAAAATACAAAACACTTCTATCAAAATAAGATTGAGAACTTTGATTTGGAAGCTAGATCTGACACACCATGTGAAATGCAAACACAGAACAGGAGGTCTCTGCCCCAAAAATGTTTATGTTTTATTAACTTAAATCCAGACCTGAAAAGTTCAGAAGTTTGCCAAAACTCTGGAACATTTACGCCATGCAGGTACCCCCCAAAGTGTGTACTTTATGTGCATGCTGTGTTGGGGCTTCCATCACACTCTGTGTTCGTCCCCATTTTGGCCAGTGGCTTAATTCTTTGGTCTGACACTGGTCACACAGGCACTCCTGTGGCAAAATACTCAGTGAACATGAAGGCATTTGGTGAGCTGGGAAGGTTTGTCTGACTCAGGGCAATCTGTGATGTGATATAGTGTTGCATGCTCTGATATGATCAAACTTTATTTGAATGCTTAGAGGATTTCCCTCCTTGAGATAATTTATTAGGTTAAAATAGTCAGAGTATGAGGTAACTTCAGAGGCTGTTTCTGATTTTAAATACATCAAAGCTAGCAGTAACCCAGTTTTTCAAATGAGTTAATTCTTTTCTCTGAAGGGGACTCTGAATATGTGTGCTGTTTTATTGTTTATCAGGTATTAATGGCGTTTCTTATTATGCTTGTTAATTTTGGCAGGTCTTTCTCCTCTACAAAGAAGCTTTGTTGCCAAGACTTACTCTGAAAATGACCTAGAGTACCTACTGCAGATGCCTGCAAGTGTAGAAGCTGATAAATCATATCTTCTTCCCTCCCCTGACTTTCCTGTTTCCTCTGGAATTTATACTTCTAAATTTTTTTAAAGTTAAACGTCTGTTGATGGCATTTGAATTACAACTGTGAGCATACTTATGCAAAGAGACAAGCTATCCTGAGCACTTTTGAGGTATGTATGCCTTCTGTGACTTAGAACACATGGAAGGGGAAGCCATCTCATTGGGGCAAAGAGAGTTCTAGGTATACATATTCTAGATTTAAGCTGATGTGCTCTGTTTTGCATGGTTTTAGCAGCAGAATATACATATACACAGTGAGGCTGTAGGAGCACCAGCTGGCATTGTATGGAGGGTGACCTTGGTTGAACCTACTGTGGGAGTACTCAAAAGATGGTATTTAGAAAAGCTGTATCCACTGCTACCCATTCAGTTCCTAAATACCACCATGGTCTGCGAAATTTTCTTCTTCAGAGTGCATGTGTTATTGAAATGCGCCTGGGAGGCCATGGTGGTTGCTCTATTTGCTAAGGTAAAGCACTCACATGAAGTTACAGAGTATTTGCAAGCATCTGGCATGAAGGTTAGGAAAGAAGGATATTTTGCTTGCCTACCTGTGCACAGGTGCTAGCACAGTGGTCTCTGCTCCCAGAAAGGAGCAGTCTCATTAGACAATGTGCCTGTGATGCACAAGTTACAAGCAGAGCTGGGTGGGATTTGCCTTGTTGCTGTGCACATTTGTCCCACTCAGGTAACAAGAGATGGACAGCCTTGGCTGTTTCCACAGCATAGAAAGTAACCAGTATGCACGGTTTTATTTTCCTTTTCCTAAAGCCTCCTTTGGAGGCTTTTAGCTGTCTATACATGTTCTAAACCTGGAATGAGGAAGCTGGCTAACTGCCTCTCTATGGACTTAGAAAAGACTGGTGTACACTGATAACATCTTTTCCTTCTGTAAACTACTTGGACTCCTTATCCCTTCTGTGATGTAGATGCCAGCGTTCCAGAGCAGTGGTAGTTTTGTCAATTAATGGTGGATTAGAGTGAAAGGCAGCCAAACACACACCTCTCTGGCTTCCAGAACAGACACTCATTAGTGGGTTTAGTTTAAAAAGGAAAACTAGTTGTGCTGAAAGTAGCTACCTGACTGAATCATTCATCATGCACAGTTGCCGTACAGGATATGTTTAGCAGACAGCATGCATGCTTTTGTTGATAAGCTCCAGTGATTCAGGCTGAGATGATGCTGGAGGGACACAGATCTGACCTACCTCCCTGTCTGGCTTGAAACAGCCTGATGGTGTTCCTGTAACAGGAAGGCAGAATGGGCTGTGTTGCAGTGCAAGTCTGAACTGTAATGGGCAGTGAAGCGCACTGGTTGGGAAGGGGATGCCTTACATGTGCTGAAGGAACTCATTCGCCTGCAAGCAGGCTGGGGCCAGGGATTGGCATCTTGGTGAGATTCTCTGTTACGAGTGGACAGAAGTTGGTGCAGCACACTTAAAATGTGTTTCTCAGTCTGCCTGGACAGTGTTATTTGGCTGTGGCAGTGTGCAAAAGCAGCATTGGGCAGAAAGAAGAGCATTGTTTCCTGTAATCCCTTCCTTCATAGAAGCTGTAGGAACACACTAGGAGTGGTTTGCTGAGCTGCCCGTTGCCACCTTATTGGTGTTTTATGCAGTGTACCAGGGATGTGGATTCTGCAACCCAACTTGGTGCATTTTTTTTTGTGGTATATAAGTTGTGATCTCTGTGATCCTATCAATTAATGGTGCACATTTCCCAAAAAAAGCTGCCATTCTGTGACAATAGAACAAGTCCTGCAGTATCTTTGAATACCTGTAAGAATACATAGACTGCATGTCTCCATGAGTGTATATTCCTAAACAGAGTATTAGTGTTTATTTCCTTAACTGTAAGATAATGTTGACCTACCTTTGTAAAACATTAAGTTTCATGAAAAACATAAGTGCAGTTTAATTATTCAAACTCATATAGCTAAAAGTGAATTACTAAAATGTTGGATGACAAGGAGATTGAGTATAAGATAAAGTTTTCTTTTGATGTAAAGAAGTGGTCTGAAAGGTGAAATTGTGTACATTAGAGAAAGTTGCATTGAAACTGTTCTACAGGTTGTCTGAAAAGTTCAAAGAACATTAGAGGACACTGCAGTGTTGAGATGAATGGTACTGCTGTTCATTCAGCTGGTGGGATGGGTTATGACCGGAAGTTTGCAGATACCTACTTCCAGTTTTTTCAGGCATAAATGTGGTGAATTTCAGTATATTTTGGATTTGTTTTAGCTGATGGTGTCCTTAACAAATCCCATAGTGGCCTTCGATACTGAAACTGTTGACTATTATTTTCCTGGAAGCCAGTTGCCATGGTGATTATCCTGAAGGCAAATAAATGTGTTTTTTGTGGTTCCCAGCTTTACTAGTTTTGAGCAAAAGGACTGTGGCTTTTTCTGGGATCACTGGAAGTGCTGCACCCATAGCACTCCATGTTTGTGAATTCACTGCCCGCTGAACAAGCATTTCGTGCTTTAGTGGGTCACAGTCATAAGGGGTAGTGTGACTTGTCTGTGAGAAGCAGTGAGTGTCTTTGCTGTGATCCTGAGGTTGAATAGCAGTTAAATGGGAGAAATGAGCACAGAGCGACTTTGGGTCAGAATCTGCTAAGACTGAACTTAGCTCATTCAGGCCAGTAATGACAGACTGACTAGTAAGGCAAAATCTCTGTTGGTGAAAGCCAGTCCCTCCTAGGTGCATGGGGCTGTGGTCCTTCCCTGTGGTGGCTTTCAGCTGGGGTAGCCTCTAGCTCTGGTTGCTACTGATTTATATTAAATGCTTTGTGGAGAAAGATATTCTGCATATGTGAGCCTTTGCATAACAGAAGAACTTGGCTATGCATTGGGTACCTGTGGGAAGTTTTACTGCCTGGGCTGCAGAGCATGCTGTGGTAAGAGGAGCAGAGAGGGGGGCTGAATCGGTGGCTGCTTGCTGCTCTGCAGAGCAGTTCCTGTGCTGGTCATACTTTTGCTGTGGGAGTTAGTTCTCAGCTGGTTTGTTGTGCTGAAAGTTTTGGTTCTGGTTTACTGAAGTCCTTTAAATGCTTCTGGTGTAATTCCAGTCTGTGGGAAAAGTACAGGGTCCAGTACAATACAATCTGTTTATTAATAATATATTAATAGGGCCAGGTGAAGAATTTTGTAGGTGATGCAAGATGGGAAGTTGATAGACCTGATGATAGTACTGCCATTCAGAGGCACCTGGATAGGCTTGAGGAATAGGCAGGCATGAACCTCATGAGGTTCAATGAAGGGAAAGAGGAAGCTCTGCACCTGGGGAGGACCCACCTGGTATAGCTGGTGTTCTGTAACCACCCATGTACTGAAATCCCTATCATGTACCTGTACTGGGAGCCTGACCAGCTGCAAAGCTGCTCTGCAGCTAGCAAACGGGTGTTCTGGCAGAAACCCAAGTTGCACAGCTGCTCTGTAAGGAGCCATTAACTTGTGTCTTGCTTTTGGCTCTGATTGTAAGCCCACACCTTCTCAGTGGTAGCTGAAATTCAGCCTTATTTCAAATAAGATTGCTCTTTTATGCTGCTTTGAGTGAAGATTTGTGGATTTTTTAATGTGGACTATACTGTGAATGTGGGAAGAAACATGATTTTGGCTGAGGTTTTAAATGCATGACTACTTGTTTCCCATTGGCAACAAAGTAGTCAAGCCCAATTGCTTTATACCAGATTATTGCCTCTGTGCAGCTGGATGTGGAGGTGGGTATTGAAGAGCAGCATATTTGTGAGTGGCTGCTTTGCTGTGCTGTGTTTGTGCAGTTTGTGTGTGTGTGTGTCTCTAAAATGCACGATAAGATCTAAGAGAAGAAAAGAACCGTAGATACGCACCTGTATTTTTATTGCAAAAGTCCAAAAAGTGAGCAAAGCAAGGAATTCCCAAGTCTGTGTGGTAGCAGTTGATGAATGGCTGACATGGGTCCTGTTCCAAAAGGTGCTGCTCTGAGGGGATAGGGAGTTGTGGCTGTGCTGGGCTGGTTCCTTGGCCCCTGAAAAGAGGCCTGGCAGCGTGTCTGTGTGCTGCAGGGCAGGTGCCCATGGTTCTGCTCACACGGTGTCTGTGAGGTACGCAGGCCAGGCTGATGCTGTTGCTACTCGTTAGGGTACATAGGAATGCAATTATATTGTTCCTTGTCGCAAGCTCTGCTTGAGCCTACCTGGGACTGGGAGAAGTGGCTGTAATGAGTCAAGTCAAAAGCACCTTATGGATGTCTCCTGTTTCTGTTGACAGCTGATAGCAGGTTTCTAACATTGAGAACAGGTAAGAAGGTGTGGGTGGCGGTAGTCTTTTACTGATAGGTCCTCCCAGCTTCATGCAAGCTGACTGAAGGACTTCAAGCAGTGTTTGGGTAACCTGAACATCTTGTTTGTAGTCCTGCAGGGAGGAATGTGCTAATGCTTGATTAGAAAAGGCCCCGTAAACAAACTGGCCCCGGATTAAGGCCACTACTGTTATACTAATACAATTTTTTTGAAGAGTCACACTTGAGTAAAAGCTCCCTAGACTCGCAGTCTTGAAAATGGATCAGGAAGGAGAGTTTTCTTCTGAAGAGCAGGATGAAGCTGTCAGTGGTTGAGCAGCATCAACAGTCAGAATAGCGATGACTGTTGACTTCTGGTCAGAATTTGTCTTGCCAGATTTGTGTCACATTTTAAACAATACTGGTAGAAAGAACTGGTTTTGAGTCATGAGGGGGACTATTTTACCACTATGTGTGAGGTTAGTTCTACTTCTTTCACGAGTCATTGTAAATATGATACTTTCCAAGGGCTAAAAGCACATGTTAAAATCACACAGTGTGTGGGCTGTGGGTTGATGGTAGATATCTTTCTTTACAAGCCTGCTAATTTAACTTGTTTTAACCTCCTTACAACTGCAAGCCTGGAATAAACCTTTCTTTTAGAACTAGAGTTGCTAAATCTTGCCAGCGTCTCTGCTGGCATTATCACAGATAATTCTGCTAGGAGTTAAAATGAGAGGCCATCTCTTCTTTTCTTTGTATCACTAGCATGGTTAGACGTCTCTCTTTAATGCCAGAAATAGGTGTGGCATAACCTTTTGTCTTCCCTTGGAAATGAAATGAAAACACCT